CATCCACTGTTGGGACAAATCAGCAAGTACCACCGCAGTCAGCGGCCCGTGAAAATTTCTGGAGAATTGCAGCAGTTCAACCAACGACGAAATTCGTTGCCCACCGTTCTACGATCGTATCGTTGTTCCGCAGAAGCTGCAAGCCAGGGTCTTGAAACAGTTTCACAACGGACATCCCGACATCAGCCGTATGGAAGCTCTCGCTCGCAGTTACGTGTACTGGCCTCACATGGACCGACAAATGGAATAACTGGCCCCCTCATGCACCAAATGCGCTCTTGTATCAAAGGCGCCAACGAAGACCGCACTCAAGGCATGGCCAGTTCTACAAGTGCCTTGGTCCCGGATCTACATCGATTATGCTAAACCGCTCAATGACTAGAACTTCCTCATCGCCGTTTACGCACATAGCAAATGGTCGGAAGTCATCATCATGGAACGCATGCCAGCGGGAGCGACAATAAACACTATTCGACGACTGTTCAGCAGTTTTAGTTGTCCCGAAACCTCGGTGAGCGATAACGGAGGGCACTGCACATCAACCGCCTCTCAGCTCAAATCTACAAGTCGGCTCAAAGAGGGAATCATTAGGTGCAGCATAAACGGACCCGCGAGCAGGCAGGCAGGCAGCGAGCCGCGCCTTCGGCAAGCTATCGACCCACCTATATGTGGTGAACGCAAACTGGCAACCAATCAATAAATAATTCAAAATTTAAAGCTGCGACCAGGCTAAAGTTCTGAAAAGCCAGCCATTGAGTCACAATTTAATCGTATTGTTACTCGCGCCAGGAAGGTATCTGATTAGCCCGATGGACATGGCTGTACACGCGCTTATTAACGTAAATATGCTGTAGTAATAACGCAAAAAGACTTCTGCTTTTGCGTTATTCTTGCCGTGTTCCTTCTTGGGGATTCACACAAAGCGAAATTAGGCGGTGACATCTTGGCTTAGGCTTCATTCACAACAAACAAAAGCCACTAAACAATACCTACTTACATGTTTAAAGTAGACCTTTAAACAACAAAAAAGCGGTGGAGGCAAAAAGATACCGTGACTTGCTTCCGTGCATTGTAGTGCCGGAGTCTCTCAAGGATTCGCGCACTCGGGATATTAGTATAATTGGGCCACATTGAGTTATGAATCATCAGCATCCGTTGGGCATGGCCTGTCTTATGCAACTGCTTGTCGCCCAACAAGGGAAGACTGTTCCTGTTGAGGTCCACATTCAAGGGACTTCGCTTGGTCCGTTCCCACCGGCGTCGGATGGCCTCAGTCGATGCCAAATAGGCTCCTCGATTGTCCACATGTATGCACAGAAAACATTCCATGCATGCAGTTTGTTTACGTGTCTAGCGGTTTTCAGAAATCACAAAATAGGGAAGCATACATGGTATGTTCAATAACGGCTTTTTTATTCTGGATAAAAAAGTTCTCAAATAAAAACGTCCAATAACCTTTACAGTTACCAGAACAGCATTGGAATCCCACCCAAAGGAATTTTCCAAGTTTTGCCCATAAATCTTTTTTAATGGTTATAATCAGGCGTGGTGTAAATGTTTGTTGCAAGGGTCTAATCTAACTAACTAGAAGCCCCTGCGCACCCGGTAGATGCACTTCCTCGGACATCCGTAAATGAACCAATACAATAAGGCAGGGCTTTCTGTTGAATGGCGTTTTCTTCAACACCAGATCATCAGATTTATCACGTTAGCTTAAACAAAAGTAATTAAACAGAAACACTAGGGAACAGACGCCACACAATCGGTCAACCAGAAGTATTTACTGTTATACTCACAGCCGGTACTTGTAATTGGCCCGAACTGCGATCTTGGCCGACCGTTGTTCCCAAAGCCAGCCCGGGTGAGGAAAAGAAGGCAATAACCCATGATAAGAAGTGTATTCACACAAAACAAGCCATCCTCCCAAAAAGGCTGCGTATATTTATTCGGTCCACTTGATGAGACAGATAAGGCGAGAAATTGAAAGCCACATTGTGGCTCTCCGGGATGAACTACCTCCCAGAGGACGCACAACTTTGCACAACCAGGTTGTGCATTGATTGGCTCCTTCGTCTAAGCAACGTTTTATTTCCATTTCATTGTAGGTTGATTGTTATTATTTTATTTATTGTACTAAGAAATGTTGTCGATTCATCTTTTATAGTTTTCCTATTCTGTATTATCATTTTACTGATTGGGGAAACAAACAAATATCAAATTGCATCCAATGCAAATAAAACACTTATTATAAAACTCAATATCCACCGAATTTTATTTACGATTAACAATGCACTGCAAACTAAACTGTAAACTAAACTAGAAAACTGAACTTTAAACTAAAAGCAAAACTAAACTGTAGATCATAACCTAAACTGGAAACCAAAATTGCAAAATAAACTTAAATTAATCTAAAGTATAATACTGATAGTGGCGTGGCAGTAGCATGACGAAAACCCTTCTTTGAGAAGACCCATCGTGGGAATGGAGACATTCCTGACATTTACGGACCCAGGTTGGTGGCTTAATCTAATGAATTTGGCGAATCTATGCTTTTAACTTTCTGCCATCTAGTTTTGCATCCAAATTAATACTCTGTGGAATTAAAAGGTCCTAATTTAACTATCGTTATATTTTAACACGGATGTGTGACTGGGGTCAAGTAGGTCTTGGAATCCTGACGCAGATCGCTGCAGTAAGCGCCTGTATTGTGGTTAGTGAGTTCACTATTTAGTACTGACGCGAACGGACTACCCTTTTTCGAACTTGATGCTAATTCAATAGAGCTCGACCACTAGATGAAAAGTTACAAAATAAATGTTCGGCAACAGTTTATCAAATGGTCGCTCAGTGGTAAACGTCCCCAGGCCTAAGTGTCTAACGAGGTTCGACCTTTTAAGGGGGGATAAAAGGGTGAGGATAAGTAAGCAGTACGAAATAAATTACAACCGCTTGTATTCGCTTTACTGAACTAAAAATACAAGTGAAAAGGTTACAGAAAGGATGAATGGACTGCAAATGACGCTTTATAGCTAATGAACAACTCATATTGTTTAACATAGTCAAGGGAGTGTTTAAATAGGTTGAAATTCAAACTATTGAAAAGCTGAAAGTTGGAATTGTTGAAACCTTCCTGGAGACGCCCATACGAGGAACTTTAACCACTTTTTCTTCATCCCAGCTTTACTTTGCTCCCACACACATGCGAGCAATTGGTTTCATCAATTACGATAAGATTGGCTTAACTCTGTGATAAAATAATCGCATCACTCTATCCAAGAAATTCCCCTACCCTGTTTAACCATCCAAAAGGGATATCATTATTCTTTATAATCCTCGCCAATTTACCTGGGTGCCTAGATTTGTGCAAAGCCTGGACTTGAGCAATATGTAAACACCAGATTGAGCAATTGCCAAAGAGGACTGAAAATCTCCATTCTCTAACAAGCGCATTACATGCAGTTGATTCGCTATCTCATAAAACGCGAACCGAAATTCTAAGATGTGTTTTCGATTTGAACATATAAATTAAGAATGGTTGCAAGAACCATTATCCTTCAGCCTAATGTCAATAAATTACAGTGACTTCAGAATATTGGCGTTCGAAAAGCTTCTTTCTGACAGTCTGCAAAAAGTATATCCTATAAAAATGACTTTTTATATAGCATACATTTTTCTCATTGGTTTCCATTGCTCATATAAATTTAAATATATTTTACAGAAAGCCTGAACGAAAAAATTCTTTCCTGCACTCGTTAGGTAGCAAACTACATCTTATTCAAAATTTATACCTGAAGAAAGATAACTT